GAATGCCGTGCCGCGCTGCCCCCCGCCACCCCAAGATTGGCCGCCCCTTACCAGGTGCCGCCCCAAGCATGTGCTTGGTTGCCTGGTGCCTGGAGCCGGCCCTGCTTCTGTGGCCCAGTCCAGTGCACTATCAACTAGGTCACACTGCCAACATTTTAAAAGCTGCTGACAAAAATATTCCAAGAGGAAACGGAATTCCACTGAAATGCACCAGAGTAAATGGGGGACGGGACAAAATGGAACAAAAAAGATAAACTCTTTGCAAGAAATGCAGTGCTTCTAGGCAGGTGTCTGATAGGCGCTCCCTGCAGCTGGAATTCAATGGTAGGGAAATAAGGGCTTTGCATTTCGAGAGACCCTGTGAGACAGCTCTCTGGAGACTAGAGAGCTGGGGACCCAGTCTCCTGCAGAAGTGGAATAAAGCCACAGCCCCTTCCCATCCTGGAGCAGGGATTGCAAGGGTAGCATCCCTTCAGCATCAGTGTCGCGCTGATTGAAAGGAGGTGAGTGTGCTAGAGGCTAGCGAGAGCGATCTGGCAGCAAAGAATGGGTGCTGCAGGAAAGAACTGTCGCCCTCGGGATGGAGAGATGGAGTTTTCCAGATTCTTGGGGGGGAATAGACAGTGAGCAAGATGGTGGAGGGGGGTGGGCTAGAGGGTGCAGAGGGGTGGATAAAGTAGAGAGACAGGAAGGGAGCCCATGCTCTGGAGATGGTAGGGGGATGTGGTAGTAGAGATCTGGGCGGGCAAAGGGAGGTGGAGTTCCTGGTTTCCACTGAAGAAAGATGAGTTGTCAGAATACACCCATACTGCTGGGAGGTGGGGGAGGGCCCTCACTCCCCTTGTGGCCCTCCAAGACACCAGGAAACATGACGCTGGATCAGACAAAGTGACAGATATTTCAGTGGCTCCAGGCAGCTATCCAGCAACCTGTGGGCAAAAGGAGCTGCAGCTGGAGGGCAGAGGAAAGGGGCCAAACAGCAGCCAGCCTTCAACCCATTAACAGCTAAAAGAGCCTCCAATTCCCCGCTCTATCGCCACTGCTGAAGAATTTGGCATTCATCTTTAAGAAGTTTCAGAGTTGTAGCCATGTTTGTCTGTATCAGCAAAAACGAGGAGTCCTTGTGATATATGCCATCATGTGCCAGCAATGCCCCTCTGCCATGTACATTGGCCAAACCGGACAGTCTCTATGCAAAAGAATAAATGGACACAAATCTGACATCAGGAATTACAACATTCAAAAACCAGTAGGAGAACACTTCAATCTCCCTGGACACTCAATAACAGACTTAAAAGTGGCAATTCTTTGACCAAAAAAGCTTCAAAAACAGACTCCAACATGAAACTGCAGAACTGGAATTAATTTGCAAACTGGGCACCATCAAATTAGGCCTGAATAAAGACTGGAAGTGGATGGGTCATTACAAAACCTAATTTTACCATACTAATTTCCCCCTGCTGTTACTCAAACCTTCTTGTCAACTGTTTGAAATGGGCCACCCTCATTACCACTACAAAAGTGATTTTTCCTCCCTTGGTATTCTACTGTTAATTGAATTGTCTCGTTAGACTGACCCCCCATTTGGTAAGGCAACTCCCATCTTTTCATATAATATATACAGTAGCAGGTGTGTGTATATATATAATATATATATACTATATATATACAGGTGTGTATATTATATATATACACACCTGCTACTGTATTTTCCACTCCATGCATCTGATGAAGTGGGTTCTAGACCACGAAAGCTTATGCCCAAATAAATTTGTTAGTCTCTAAGGTGCCACAAGAACTCCTCGTTGTTTTTATCTTCAAGAAGTGTGTCCCTGGGGGTGCTCACTGCAGGTTTGTCGGTGTCCCTGCGCTGCTGATGGAGAACTTCGGTAGCTGTGTCCGTTGGGCCCGCACATGCACTGTCTCTCCTCCATGGATGTGTTCTTGCAGCCTAGCAGTGGGCATGCCCAGGGCCTGTCTGCGGGGAGAGGAGAGGGAAGAAGGGCTGCATTAAGCTAAGCTTTGCAGGACTTCCAGCCTCCATTGTTCTCCCCTTCTCCCACGAGAGGTCTGAGGCGCCGGTTGTTCCTTCAGGCCTCCAGAAGGCAGCTGAGAAGACAGGGAATGCGGATGTCAGTCAGTCAGAAGAATGGATTTGACAGGCAGCAGACGGCCGGCTGCCCTAGGGAGACAGAGCAATCTAGGGTATATCTACACTGCACTTAGACACCTGCGACTGGTCCCTGCCCCCAGACTTGGGCTGATGGGGCTCTGGCTAAGCAGCTGGTTAACCCCATGGCCCAAGTCCGGTGGCCCGGGCCAGCCGCAGATATCTAAGTGCAGTGTAGACACCCTGTGTGGGACAGCTCAGATCTGGTGGCTGCAGAGGCAGCTGGAGAATCTACTTTTTCCACCATTTGATCAGAAAACTGAGCTGGAGAAGCCAGCCTGTGCTGGCAGAGGGATTCAGTGTCTGTGTTCACTCACGCCCAGGCTAGTGCCCTCTGTCCTAAGGCACTTTGCTAGAATCCAAGAAGAGGAGAATACTGTTTAGTGCCAGTCGAACCTCTTACCCTGTGCCAGCACAGAGATAGGCCGGCAATGTATTCATTAACCCTCCAGCGCTGCCCCATGCCTGGTACATCCTTAATGATCAACATGCCCAGGACATGTAAAGAGGGTTCCTGCTGCAGCCCAGAGGCCGAGCTCACAGGACAGTGCCGCTCTGATGGGCACAGAATAGACACTGAGAGTTCAGCCGGGAAAGGGGTTCAAATGATTTTCCCATCTCATGCTGTCCTCACCCACACACCTGGGGCCGAATGGGGGAGGGGAGCCCTGGTTCCACTCTTCCAAGCTCCACCCACAAAATATGTCCTGCCTGCTTGATGATGCCAAAATGAGGCGCCACTCTCAGCAGATTGAGCAGATGTTCAAAGTGTGATCAGACCGGGCTCAGCTCCCCCTCCCTGGGGTTCAAACACTCCTATGGGCTCTGCTGGGCTCCTCAGCTCCCCCTCGTTCTGTTTGCTGAGTCACAAAGGATGTCAGTACTGAAACCTTTCCTTGCCTGCACTTTGCCAGGCAGCCCATGCCACAGAGGCTCATGTGATGGCATCTGTTTGTGGGGTCTTGTGGCTTCGTAGGCATAAGACCTCAACCATCTACTCTCTGAGGTGCGAGGAAACAGGCCTGCGCTCAGGACTATGGACAACTGCAATTCTCTTCCCCTTTCTCCCTCCAGACTTTTAAGCTAGGCCCCTCTCCAGCCCTTCCCAGCAAGGTTAGAACAGTTACGGTTTTCCCTTCTCTCCTGTGTGTCCTCAGGCAGATAACAATTGAAGAGGGAGAACAGAGAGCCAAAGAACTGAGCGTCATGTTTATTGAGACCAGTGCAAAGACAGGCTACAATGTAAAACAGGTAAGGGAAGACCTGCTCCAGCTAGAATCGTAGCAAGATCATCCAGCTGATTGGCCGGGTTCACTGCAGCAACTGATAGTATCCACAGTAGCAAAAGGTTGCAATAAGGCCATTGAAAATTTTAACAGGATGCAATATTGTATCTTTACTGGCTTTAGAAGCAGAAAGCTCCTCCACCTTCCCCTCCATCACTCGTTCATTTCTACGTAAAGTGCTCTTAGATTCCTCCTGGTGCCCTCTGGAGGGATAGATTTGCAAGGCACGGTGTGCTTTTTACACATGTAAAAACTGGGATTACACATGTGAGGCCTCAAGCAGGATGCCGTCCAGTGCAACATCAATCTGAGCATGACGACATACGTGCCTTTGTCTGACATGGTCTGCACAACTCGACACTGAACTCTGAATAGGATTAGGCGGACGTGGCTCTAATAGTAAGGATTGCCTGGGCAGCTTCCATGCCAGCTGGGAAGCTGTAGATGAAGGAAAACTTTGACTTAGAAACAGATTGCTAAATTTAATTAAACTGAGTACATTACAACAGGGAGGCCCTTTCACATTAGCTGCTGCAACAGCTCTGGAGGTGAGATCACTGCTCAGTGGATCTTTGCAGTGGGAGCTGTCTTTTCACTCTGTTAAAACCTTTTGATAATTGTTTGTTACCTGTTGTTGTGGTGACTGCGCTGGGGCCCTGATCGGGGCCCATAAGAGCTACCACTATACAAATAACCAAGATTAATGACCAGGAGGTAAATATCTCACTACAGCAAATGAATAAACAGGGATGTGTAGTCCCTTTTGCACCCCAGGGAAAGAAGCCCCAGGTCACTGTATAGCTAAGACTCAGTTTAGATCCCTGAATGAAGGATTTGAAAAGTGTAATGGACAGGACACCTGAGCACACCATTAGCTTTGAGATAAATCTAAGTACTAACCATTGTCTTTTGCTCTACAGCTGCAGCAGCAAAGCAGATGTAGATTCACTAAACTACATGATAATAACAGTCAATGCTAACAGATACCTGTCTTGGCCTCAATGTAATAAATCATGTCCTAAGATAGAAATTTCCTCATTTCTTCGGACGAATGAGAGATGTGATATAAAATTGCCTCATACCTGGGATACATGAGCAGTTCTCCTGTAATTAATCATCATATGTAAATGATACTGTTTAGAATTATTTGAGAAGAAGAAATTATGATTTTTCACATAACGCATGCAGTATCTCAGATTGCATGTTTACTGTAGATGGGGATGGCTGTTCCCTGGCTGAGGTTATTTACTTTGCAGAGTAATGCAATATGAGTGCACACTGCACAACACTACAGAAAGGAAGGTTCCATGTATGCTAATAGTTTCCATGGAAGAAGTTTATGACTGATAGCTGTGAGAGCACTTTACTAACACAATATACTAACATGCAATATCACAGACTGGAACATGGAGACAATAGACATACAGGGGACTGGTTTTCAGAAACAGTCTTATTTGGCACAGTAAACTGAAGGTGCAAATGATAACTTTGAAGGGTCAGCTCCCCAACTAGTGGAAATCACTGTAGCTTCAATGAAGGGATGCCGGTTAATACCAGCTGGGAATCTGCCCTATATGTCTAGCTACTTCCCCTGCTGATGCCATGCCTATCAACATCCAGCCAGGAAATAGGTGACAAAAATCAAAGGTGGGTCTTTGATTCTAGTGGAAGGAAATGAAGGATTGCTCGGCACATGTCAAATTTAAATTAACCCCCTTAGAGCTTTGGGCAAGTCATCCAGGCATGTGAGTAAATTGCTTCTCTCTGTTTAAATCGGACATATTCCTTGCATCATTTCAAAGTAACTCTCTTTTCTCTTGCCAAAGAAAACATCTTAACACTTTCACAGACAAACCAGAGTGGAATTCACCCAACATTAATTAGGGAAAATGCCACAAACAGGATTCATAATCATAAAACTGTGAGCAGAACACCCCTCCCGTAGTGCATGGGGCAGAGTCTTCTGCCTCATGTTTCTGAGTTCTGAAACCAAAAGTTCCTTTGCTGTGCTCTCCTCTGTTCCCTCACCATACCCCACTCACAGTGGTTGTCCTTAGTCAGTGAGGACCCAGGGTTTAGAGGTACATCTGTGTGAGTTCACCTCCCAGCTGGGGAAGAAGGCACCTTGCTTGTTCTACAATCTGAGCACTTGCTCTGTCTGGCCGTCTCGCCAGCTGCTCATTCCGCTTCCACCAGTCAACTATCAATTACCTTCTGCTGCCACCTTCCTCTCTGCTGGTCAGTCTTAGTGATTTTCAGCTTTTAGCAGGCTAAGCAGAAATGCTGTCCCACCACAAGTGATTTCAGCTCTCATTTAAGCACTTAAAATAACAAAGGTTCCTAATAGAGCATATTTCCTTAGAGATTTTTAAGGTCAGGCTTTGAGCAGGGGGTTGGACTAGATGACCTCATGAGGTCCCTTCCAACCCTGATATTCTATGATTCAGCTCTGCTTTGAACATTGGGGAGGAATAGATTAAACCAGACCAGGGACCCTTAGGGGAAAGCCACATCTCCTCACTAGAACACCTGTTCCCACTCCTCTTACTTTCACAGGGCTTTGGCATTCGAGCCCCTGGCTTAACAAGGTCCTTTCAGTTGAGGGTGACCCCCTCATTTGGGACAGGTGAAGCACAGTTCTAATCCTCTTTACTCATACAATAAAGACAACAACATTGATAACAACCTTTCACTACTCCTGCATTCAGTACGAAAGTGATTTGTAACCCAATACCAGCCAAAGTTGATCACGTTGAACAACACCGCTCTATCTGCTGGACATCTTGGCAGAGTAGGTGTGTTCATGTAAATACAGTTTGCTCCTGAAGTCTCTCCCCCTCCCAGCTAATGTCAGGGGAGAATTCATTCAGACCCTGCTTACATTACTAAACTGATTTAGTTATACTGATGCAAATCCATTATGTAGCTGCACTTAAACCAGAGTAAATCATGTTTATACAGGGTTAGTTTAATCCCTTTATTTACTGAATTAAGTTAAATCGGTATAAAGTGCTTTTTAAATCCATTTAGTTACACCAGTGTGAGTTTTCTACCATGAACAAGACCTTACACATTGATCTGGTCACACCAAAGTGGAAGTGACACATCTCTCAGCCCCCAACCTTACTTCACCAACATTGCACATGATGAGTTTTGCTGTTCTCAGTTGTGTCAAATACAGAATGAAAAATAATGGCTATGGATACAAACCCTGAACCTCAGTGACAGATTCCTTCTCTCTCTCCTCTCTTATCCCCGGGCCTACGCCAGCTGTTCCGACGTGTCGCATCTGCACTGCCTGGCATGGAGAGCGTTCAAGAGAAGAGCAAAGAAGGAAGTATCCTTTTTTTAATGAAACTACCTAGCTCTTCTATAGCACTGTTCACCCATCGATCTCAAAGGTCAGTATATTGTCCCCCAAGGGAAACTGAGGTTCAGGGAGGTGACAGTCACACAGCATGGCTGTGCACTCAGAGCCCACATACAATGCAGTGATGGCATAGTGCTCTGAGCCCAGCCCAGCACCTCGAGCCTGGGCACCCTGCCGCCATCTGAAACAGGCCCCAGCACTAAAGGCTTCCCATTGTCTGCAGCATGGGCTGACGTAGCATGGCACCTGGACCTCAGGCATCCTTGCATTGCCTGATGAGCGCAGGGCTCGGAGCCTGCCATGTGACACATGCACGGACACATTCATGTCCTGAGCCTAGGCGCTATTGAGCTGTCTGAGCTGCTGGATGAACTCCGAGCCCACGTCCCCATACGTTATCCCACATGTGACACGTAGTCCCACACCTGCATTTGCTCAAGTCCTTTGAGAATCCTGGGGCAAGGAAGAGTTTCCTGACTCCACATCCCCTGTTGTCAGATGTACATGCAGACACAGTGGTGTCCCACATCTGCCTCCCCTCCAGAGCTGTGCAAAGGCCCAGCACGGGCCCCTGAGCTCACTTCCCCTGCAGCCCCCCCAGGCCTGGCCCAGCCCCACAGAGCAGGCATGAGACAGCGGATGAAAACACAAGACTTCCTGGATGGCTCACATTTGCAATCAGCAAACACTGTCAGGGTCTTTTGTTCAGATGGGTCATTTCTGTCCTGTCCACTGGCAGGGCAGTCTGTGAACTCCTCACATGGGTGTGGAGTTACTCATGCGAGTAACCATATTGACTTCAATGAAGCTACTCTGTGTCCAAGCACACACAGTTGTGTGCCAGGGGTTCCCAGTCTGGTCCTTAGCTGGTCATAAATCCTGTATACGATACTTGGAAGCAGACAAACATCTATAAAGCTGCAGAATCCAGATCCTCCAGTGCACCGTCCCTCGTCCTTGTTTGCACGGTGTGGGCTGGGAATTCCAGCTGGGTTTATTCGGGGCTGGGCTGCCTCACCATGCTCCGTGTCACCAGACCTGTAGAAAACGGGGCTGATGTGGGGAACAGCACTGGAAAGAAGGGGTTGAGGACTTACTAACGTGTGTGTGTGGATGCAATGAGGAGAGGAAAAAGGCAAACAGCCTTGTAAAGAAAGGGAAGGAGTCCTAATGGGAGCAGCCAGGTGCAAGAATGACGGGGTTGGGCAAAGGAGCCATACCTGGAGTTGGAGAGTGAGAGAAATTCCATGGGTCAAAGGAGTTGAGCACCGAGGGGACAGGTTTGTGGCTGTTACTGGCATGCTTGGGGCCAGGACGCTCCTTTGAGAGACACTGAAGGTCAGAGTTAGGAAGTTAGGAGCCTGATGAGGCCAATAGGTGCCTAGGGGGATTTTCCAAAGCACCTGAGTGGGTTTGGTGCCTAACTCCCATTGAAATCAGTTGGAATTAGGCATCAGCCCTGCTTGGGTGCTTTGGAAAATCCCATTGGATGCCTGTCTGCACCCGACAACTTAATAGTTAGAGAAGCAGGCCCTGGCTGGCTTTGGTCACTGAGGTGTGGTTTGTTTAATTAAGGTTTTAATTTCCATCAGTGGTTCCAGCAGTGAGGGTTTTTCCTTGTATGTGCCACAGTAGCCCACTTGCTATCTGTGCCTGCCCTGGGCCAGTGGCCTTTATGTTGTGCATACAATCTGTGGGGAATGGTGCAGTATTTTGTGAGGCTTCTCAGAGCCAAGCAAGTCAGAGACAGGCTGCAGTTAAAAGTGCCCCACTGGCCAGTGCTTCTAGACCACTTCCCTAGGACTGTACATTGTGTCTGGGCTGGACTGTGAATAGCACCAAGGCAGAGTTCTTTTTCTCAATGTGAATTTGGTTCTGGTATAATTTATCCACAGAACACGTGGTCGGTGCTGCACGCTTCACACACACACATGCACGCACACACACGTCTGGTGGGAGTTGTAGTCAATTGCTCAGCCACCACCAAGGGGCACTGGGGAGTGCTGGGGGCTCTGGTAAGACCCGGGAGGGTGGTGAAGCCCCGTGTCAGGGGTGGGGCTTAGGGGTGGACTGGTGTTTTGTAACAGGCTGGGGCTTATCTTTGGCTGAGGGTGTGGAGGGCCTAGTAGATAAAAACGTCCCTTGCATAAAAGAGCCAGCGCCCATCAGTCATTACGTGCAGCGACGGCTGAAGAGAGCTGGGGGGCTGGCATGCACTTGTGGTGAGCTGGATTTGTTACAGCTCCAGCCCTGCACACACAGAGTCACTGGCTGGTAGAGGCAGGAATTAGCTTCAGTTTCTGCCAAAAAAGATTACTTTCTCCTCTCCAGCAGGGTGTGACATGGAGCCCAGCCATAGCTGTGAGCTCCCCCACAGCCAGTGCTCTTCCTGCTCCTCGCTCCTGCGGAGACAAGCTGGCACAGCAGTAGCTGTGCCCATTGCACAGCCAGCACCCCACGTGGCATTGTTCCCTGCAGCAAAGAGCCGGGCTGGGAATGGAGAAGCTGTGCCCTTCTCTCAGGCTGCCTCCTCCAGTACGGAATGCCCACTGGGAGCAGGCTGGCCTGAATGCTAGAGAGAGAGCAGAGAAAGAGAGGCACAAAGTGAGCACAAAGGGGCTGGGATGAATCGAGATCCCAGGGGTTCCTGTTCAGCAAGGTATCATTGTCAAAAGGGCTCAAGAGTCATGGTGCAGACCAGGTTTTCAAACGAGCTCTGCCCCTAAAACAGGATAGGGAGCCCAAAGCACTCAGCACCCAGCCGCTCCCAAGGGGATGCTCCTGGCCAGATTTTCAAGACCTCAGCGCCCAGTGTGCTGCACTCTTGAAAATCCTGGCCTAGCCACCTCATCCTTCAGCTGATACAATTAATCCAAGTCTTTCCATACTTCCCTGGCAGTTGTCTAGATGGTTCTCTAGCTTCTTTTTTATTATTTTTATAAAGGAGCCCATCATCATGGTCTCTGTCTAATGGAAGTTAAAGATTTCCTAGCACAGCGGATAACGCTGTTGGCCTCTGCAATATTCCCTAAGGGTTTGTGCGAACCATTGTTTAGTACAGCATGGCCCCTGCATTGGGTTACACAGTCATTACACAGCCCTGGCACTTGTGGGTGCATGAGAGCCACACTCGGGGCTTAAAATTGATGCCCCAGTTTTTTCCTCCAAGCCACCAGAAAGTGCCAATGCTCGAAATCTTGCTCCTCATGCCAAGCAGATGCAGGTAAAACCAGTTGAAGTATTGCTCTGTTATTAGTGTATCAGTATTTCAGTAGTACCCACTGCATGCTAGGCTCTGTCTACACACCGGACCTGCTCCAAAGAGCAGCGCCAGTCAGCACAGCCCGAGGTTCCAATGCCCAAGCGATGTTACTCCTACTTCTGCTCTGATAACATGATGTCCCAATAACCTTAGTCCTGCAGCCAAGCCAGGGCCCAAATTATGCTGGAATGCCGTTCCAGCACTTCTTTGGGGAGACAGAACCGCATTCCGGTACCTCCAGCACTGAGGAATGAGACACCAGTGCCATTCCGGCACTTCTCTGCTAAGACTCAAGCACTACTCCAAACAGAGAATAGCATTGTCTAAGGGACATTATTTCTGCCCCTAGCTAAGGACATCAATAATGGAGATACTTGTGACCCTTTAATACCCCACGGGAATGTGTCGAGGCCATTTGGAAAGCGGAGCATTCCATGGAATGTCAGTATTGAAGCAGCAGTCTGGGCTGATGCTTCTGGAATGCTGAGAGATGAGCCATGCTTTCCCAACGCAGAGGCCAGTTAGAGGGTCTTAGCGTGGCACAGCTAATAAAATACCTTAGTCCTCCAAATAGGGTGACCAGATGTCCCGATTTTATAGGGACGGTCCCGATATTTGGGGCTTTTTCTTATATAGGCTCCTATTACCCCCCCACCCCCATCCCGATTTTTCACACTTGCTGTCTGGTCACCCTACCTCCAAACAAACTCACTCAAGCGAAGAGAAGCCATCAGGCATGTATGTGCATGTCCCCTGTGGCTATGCAGTCACATCAGACATGCTAGAAGAAAAAGAGTCGTTAATGCACTGGTTCTTTTTCTTCAGTTCTACTTGGAGTCTGGAGCTGAAGGGTTGGTCAGTGCTTTATGGTGGGGCTTGGCAGGATTGGAGTTTGATTTTTTTATAATTTTGACAGATGTATATCAATGTTTATTTTTTAGCATTTTTTCCTATTTACATTTTTACAGTTGCACAAAATCAGGTGTGTTGAGCATTTTTTCAGTGTTTATCTAATTAAATGTTCTTGATTGTGGGAAATTATGGGGGGAGCCAGACAATAATTATTTAATTACAATAGATGTTGAAATTCAAAATGTTAAAGCTTTATAACCGTTAAAACACAATTGACAACATCACATGGAAAAATATACAAAGTAAAGCTCCTTAAATCAAACTGTAAAACATTCTCAAACAACATTTTTCTCATGTTGTCTAGCTGCACATTTCAATTATTATCGATGGAAATATTTTTCATCGGTTTGTGTGTGTACAGTGAGATCCACATTTGCCTATACAAATCTCATCCTTCCATGCCTCTGTATAGTTCATGCCTAGCACTCTTTAGATTTTGCTTTTGTTTCATCACCTTTTTATTCCACATTGGCAAGCACAGGCAGGAGCGCTGGCATTACAAGTCAGACCAACGTATCAGCGAAGACCCGCAGCCCAGTTTATTAGGATATCAAGTCAAACACAAAAGCCAGGTTCATTCCGATTCATCCATGCAGTGGTGCCTTTGCCATCACCAAAGTTTGAAAGCTTGAGAAACAACAGAATCTGGATTTCTCTTCCATAAACTGGGGTTTTAGTTTTCAAACTGAGCCATTCTCCTCCCATAGGTGTAAGACACTCCAGAGTGCAGAAATCCTACCTAACACCATTGTATCTATGGAGATTGAAGGCTGTATGGCCACACCCAGCCATA